CCCCAAAACCCCAAAACCCCAAAACCCCGTGATTAGCAAGTAACTGAATGCATTTTACTGTCCATTGTCTCTATAACACAATTCATTTAATTCGATATAATTAAGCTAATAATTTACTTATTAATTTAAGCTAGTAATCAAAGAATTTGCTCATAAAAATGAGTATCACCACTACTAACAATCAAATATCTGAATTCAAACAATCACTTCGAAAGGAAAACAAATCACCTCCTCTTCCACCGTTGAAGATTGTCAAGAAAAATAAGAAGGACTTTGGAGAAATATCGGCATCTATGCTTAGAAAAGGTGAAAGCCTGCCTGATCTACTAAAAAATAATCCCTATGTTTCCCCAAATATGATTAAAAAAAGTTTACTAAAAATTAAAGATGAGTAACAAAGCATCTCCATAAGTAATATATTTAAGAAGAATTAAAATAATTTGGCTAAAAAATCTATTAAAATTGAAAGAGAGCTCCTCAAAATCAGTGATGAGTCCTAGCATCCCATATCGTAAACTGATAGTAACATCATTTTTACATTTGCTACATCAAGCTCAGTAAACAATAAACAGTAGCAATAATTTATTCAAATTTAAGACAGAAAATCAAGAAACATTCACAACAGGAGTCTTAAGACCTTGTAGCCACTTGATTAATCCTCCACACTTAAATAAAAGTTATCTTCATCCTAAAGTACTGATCAACTAGGTGAGGGAGAGGTATAGATTCCGACAACAGCACAGCATGGTAAGTTTAATTAATTCCAAACTTTACCCCCAAGATAATAAACAAACTTAATAACAAAATCTTCGAAAAATATCAAACTTGATAAAATACCTGGCCAAACTTTAAGTCATGCCAACTCTTCCTCAAATATTAGGAAAACATTAAATAATTCTGCGAGTAGTTCAAATATGTCTTTATAGTAAGCGGAGAATGGGAATCTACTTCAGTATCAAAGTTAGATTTAATCAGAAAAATTGAAGGCCAGAACTTAGTAACTTCCAACTAACGTCGACTCAGTAGATTCAAAGAGCATAACGAATCTTGCAAATGATTAACCACTTGAATATGATAGTTTGGTTGATCTGGCCTAAAACGTAAAGATTGAGGAAAATAGTACTAGTATCAAAGTCTAAAATAAACCTCCAAAGCCCTAAATAAAATAGGCCTTAGCTTTTTTAATAAAACAGGAGCACAAACATTAAAAGACGTCATTGTAGCCTTCAGTGTTTGGAGTTACAACAATTAAAAACCATATAGAGAGATATGTTAAATAGAATTTCAACTACTCTCATTTTCTCTATGATCTTAAAAGCTTGAACTAATCTCTAGATTTCGCCTCTACCAATCGTGAGACTGATTAAATAGTATCTTAAGGAATGAAGGACAAAATACTATCTTAAAGCTATATAAGTAATGATATGATGAACTCCATCAAAAGCTTCGATAACCGGATAACTGCCTAACTTAAAAACGAACTGTTTGCCCATTTGCAATCACCAAAAATCATGAAGGATCTGAATCTCTAGTAAATACCAAATCAAGTTGATGTCTCTATGCAATATGAGGAGTAGTATGAGATTTCAGAAAGAGACAAGAATCAGATATAAGATTGCTATGAGGAAGAAAGTCAAAATAAATAGCAAATATAAAACAAAAATCTCATGAATGTGACTGATTATGTTGATTTGAAATTGCATGATGATGACTTCAATAATAACTTAAAGTCATAAAGAATTAGAGAACAAGAAATTGAAAAAATCTTTGAAATACAGATTATGAATGATAATGATAGATTCTAATAATAAAAGACCAATCAAGAGACATAAAGTTCATTTATTGCACCAGTTTAAGTTCTAGAGATAGCATGTCAAAATTCATTTATTGAAGAATAAAAATAGTTTTAAAGTGTCAATTTATAAACATCCTTCACTTCTAATTAAAAACTTACGACACCAAGAAATGAAAGCAATATCATTCAATTTAAAATTGTTAGTTAAAAAACACCAAAGAATCTGAATGATTAAGGCACATTCATGGGACATAGCTTTAAAAGAAGTATGATTGATATTATTGATGAAGTTCAAATTCCTGAATCTAAATAATCTTTGAATCCTCTAGATTTTTAAAATGCTGTATTTGAATTAGATATCTAAAATAAAAGCAAAACAGTCCATCGTAAGTTTGAAAGGAAAAGGATTTTCAAGAATCAGTTTGACTTCTTGTTTTTCTGTATTGATATTTACAGAGATATGCTCTCCACTAACTAGAATAATGTGCTATACCGAGCAGTGAGATAGAAAATCTTAAAAATAGGATTAAATGCCTATTAGAAATATGTTGAGGAGAAAGACAAAGAGTTTATTATCAAGAGTTACAAAAGAAATCAGTATAAAGAAAAGATGATGCAATAGTTTAACTAAAATGCAAAGCCAAAGAAAGATATAGTCAACTAAAAAACAGAGAAAAATCAAGTTAAAGAGAATAGATAATAGTAAGGAACTAAGCTGCCTCCTAAGCCTACTTCACCTGTAATGGCAAAGAAGAGTGAGAAATAGCTAACTCCCATATTTGAAGGCTTTTAAGACCATGATAAGTTTCCACCCTCTCGCCCATCAGTGACTATTTAAATACTAAATTCAGAAAAGAAAGGGTCTGATACAATGCCACTGTACATTGGGAATGATAACACACCAAAAGTAAAAATCCAAGCAGATGATGAGATATCATCTATTAGAAACAAAAATCAAAATAATCCGAGAATTTCTAATTCTTCTGCTGGTTCAAATTTCATTGATAATTTGATGTTTCAACTTAAAAAGTAGTATAAAGATCCTGACTCTGGAAATTAGATCAAGAAGGATTCGTCTAACTCTGATTTGAGCTAGGCATTCCATTAAAAGGAAAGCATCATAAGCCCTTAAACTAGAGGTTACGATAATATAGTTGGAATCAAGTCTTCTTAAATTCAGCAGGACAACAGTACTATTGAAATAAAGTATGAGATAGGTGAGGTAATTGCAACTGCCTCTGGTTCAAAAAAGAAATCCTTTAATATAATTGAAGATAAATACGAAGATAGTATGGAGGGAAGTGAACAATCTAGTCGTAATATAGCTAGTAGAAATTAGTAAAAAATAACTCCTAGCTCAGCTATCAAAACTAATTCCCACATGTCAATTTACTATGATGAATTAAACAGTGATGAGGAAGAAAAAGAAAGGATAGATGAAGTTTATGAATAAGATGAATCATCTGAATCAAAAGAAAAATCTCCTTAAACTTTTAGAGATAGATAAATTTAAGATATTAAATAGCCAGATTTTTCTATTGTAGCAAAGGCATTAACAAGGAATAAAACTAAGGATCTGGAAATTCAGGTTTAAAAACAGCATACTACTTAGTCTATGAAAAGAGTAACATAAATTAATACTTCTGGGCTGATGATAAAGCCGTTTTAGTCGTCAATATCACCAATAACTCAGAAAATGCCATATCATGGTAGTTCTGATAAGATAGATCAAGCAGTAGATGAGACTAGAGAACTTTCAAAAACTAATATCGTTACTTAGCCCAGACGAATGACTCTTAAACCAGAAGATGCTATATCTCCTAATAGACTTAACTTGACTTTACTAAAAAACAAATCACCGATGGCACTAACAAAGGGGCTGACTATATATTCACATCAAAAGAGTATAATTAGTGGTAAAAGCTAGAGTCCAAGTGGAGCAAGTCAAAATGGAAAACCAGACTTGAAAACTTTTGTCAATGTATTTTAGGACTTAGATGCAACTAGATAAAAATAAATCCTGAAAGCACTTGAGCCGCACTTAAAATAAGCATAGAATTCCCAAACTGGGCCCTTGAAATTAAAAACCTATGCAGACTTTGTCAAGTAAAGTAGCAATGCCTCGAAATAAACAATCAATAACTCGAATTCAAATATTATATAATATCAATGAGAAAAGTAATCAAACTTCATTACCTACTTTGGATTACTTTAACCTTATAAATAGATACTTAAGGTTGGAAATAGCCTATATATGCTCAGTTATTTACTTTTCAGGTTTTATTAGTTTGCAAAATAGATTGATTTATTATTACTTCAAGTATTTTGTGTTATTGCTAATTAATGCAATTCAATCGTGTGGGGTTTTGGGGTTTTGGGGTTTTGGGG